CCCCCCGGTATATTTTTTAAAAAGTCCTTTCAGTTCACTTGAAGGGATAACCAGAACCCTTTGTAGACTTCTAAAATATCTAGACCCAGAGAGCAAAACCCAGAGAAAATTGGAGTCTGTCTCAGTTCTACCTGCTGAATTTCCCTTTGAGTCTGAGTATATGCTTCCTTATGGACTGGGTAGGTCCACAGTCCCACAGAGAACTGGCCCAGTTCCCCACCCTTCTTCAGAAGGTTATTTGGTTCATGGGACAAAGTAGGATGTCTAATAATCAGGGCTTTGTGAGAAACAGCACTGTTTAATCTTCGTGCTGAGTGCATGGGTGTCGAGATGGCTAACCTGCTCCATTAGGGTGTGGACCAACCACAACGCATGAGGGCTAAAGACAGAAAAGAGGCCTCTGTGGCCAAGCTGCCTAGTTTAATGCCAGCTCTGTCATTTACAGTACTGTGGCCTTGCACGAGTCATAAATCTCTCTGCCTCAGTTTCCAAGTTGGAGGTCCTCACATACCTGTGTCACAGGGCTACTGTGAACCTCAGAGGAGGTAGCATATGTGGGACCCATACAGAGATCCAGGCCAAGGCAAAGGAGTGTTGGGCACTGCCACGAGCAGCAGTGCTGGCCGCCGTGTTCACCTCAGTCACGTTTCCCTTCGTTGTGCTTAGAGGGCAAGGGAGCCCAGTAGCTTGTGTTTTCTTAGATAGGCCACATGCGTATCTAAAAGTAGCTCCTATCTCTAAAATTCATACTGTATACCCTTCAGGGTCCAGTTTTTAGTTGTTTTACAGGTTTTTACCTTTGAGCACACAAATCTTTTTCCTATCAGTATCACGAGAAATTAAACAGAAGTGAATATGCCAGGTGTGGTGGCACTTGCCTATAATCCCAGCACTTAGAAGACTGAGGCAGGAGGGTCAAGATGAGTTTGAGGCCACCTGGGGAACAGAGTGAGACCCTGTTGCAAAAAAAACAAACAACAAAAACACAATGAAAAGGAATCCCAAATTCCCATGGCCCTCCTCCCACACAAACACTTCAAAAACATGAGTACTGCCATGTGTAGTGGCACACGTCTGTAATCCCAGCACTCAAGAGGCTGAAGCAGGAGAATGTTCCAAGTTCGAGACCA